TTCACCAAGCACTCAAACAGTATCTGGATTTGTGACCAAGCAAGCTTCTGGATTCACTGCGTCTCTTAGCTAGGGATTAGCAGCTGCAATGAGATTGTTACTAATCTTTTGATGCCATTTGGATGCTAAATGTAAGTGGCATAACAGCTGCCACATAGAAGAGGTTTCTAAGAAAGGCAATGCAAAGTAAGGTATGAATTGCAGTTCGGTCCTCTCAGCAGTCAGAAGCAGTCAGCAGTCTATCCCAGAGTCCCAGCACACTTTCACCCAGCATCCCTTCAAACACATCTTATCTGCCTTCAGTATTCTGGCAGTAAACAGGTTTATCAGTGCATGAGAAACAGACTACGTTGCTACAGTACTTTACTAAATAGGCACTCCCAATACTTTAAAAAAGCTCTTTCCTTGGCAGGGTAATACAGAATATATATGTATGTCTGCTCTTCTGTAGTTAAAATGCAAATCGTGCATTATCATATGGAAGCATAATAAAGGAAAAATTTGATGTGATCTCCAGCTTTTGAATAATTTGGGTTTTGATCAATCCAAATTTAATGGTATAGCATGGAGTACAGGTATGTTTCATGCAAATGCTATAAGTAAGGTGATAAATCAAATACAAACACAGCGATAAATCAATCATTGATAAAAACATGAATGTTTTTAAATTATTTTTAGTAAAAACAAAAAAAATGACTCTGAGACTCATAGGGTTTTTATATTTAGAGGGACATTCAGATTTAACATTTTAACTTTAATTTAAATTTTTAATAGTAAAATAAAATGAAGAACTGAATGAACAGTAATCATTACTGCTTTCAAGCCACTATTCACACAGCACCATGTAGCTTTAGGCAAATCTTGAAGCTCAGAAAGCAAACTGTCTCCTTTGATGATTAAAGCAATGCAATGAAATTAAAATTATGTAGTATGAAACATATTTTTTTCTGTCCAAGTATAACATAAATCTGCTTTCCATACCACAATTTTCTTTTCACTAAGTCTAGATGCACTGGGATCAATTAAAAGCCTCTGCAGACAAGCACCAACAGGCAAGTACTAATTATTTTGCTCGGATAAACCCATGGGTCATCCATTATCATCTACACTTTTAAATACGTACGTATAGAGGAAACTGGCTGAATCTCTTTCTTGCTGACAGAAACTGTCACAGCGGATTATTCTGTTTTTAATAGGTGTCTGAAACAATGATTTGCACCAGAGCAGTACCATCTAAATTCAAAGGATTATAAGACCTTAAACTCAGAACTTTAGAGATTTGTGTTTTAATCAGGTCAGGTCACAAACACCAAGAGAAACAAGAGGATCACCTGTTCCTCACCTTTGATGCTGAAAGAGAAGTGTGTGATTAAATTATGCATTAGCATTAGGAGAAAGAACATTATACTACCAGCAATGGTTACATAAAGGGACAATGTATTAAATAAAATACATATCAATAATCTTTGAGATTAACGCTTGCTACTAAATAATCCATTCTACATGAGAAAACAAGTAAGACTGAGAAATTCCATTATTTATTAATTGTATTTATTTAAAAGAAAATGAATTATTAACTGATTTCTTTGTGGAGTAGTGGACATATATCTGAACTTTAATACTGAACTTTTTCAGTATTAAGTATAACTGTATCTAAAGTGTCTATCATTGCACTCTAAAACGAATTTAAAAATAGCCAGGTAAAGATAATCAATGACTAAAAAAATAATTTTTAGGTCCAGGAGTTTTCGTAGGGAGTCACAAACTAACAACTATAAAAAATAATTTGTATATTCAAGCCAATTTTAATTAAATATAAGTTATTGATTAAAATGAACTTGTACTTCCCAAACTGAGAAGAAGGCTGTTTGTCAGTTTATGCATCCATTCATTTTCTAACTGCTTTGCCCAATACAGGACTGATGGCGAGCTGGAGCCTGTCCTAACCAGTAACAGGCGCAAGGTAGGATACACCCTGGATGGGACGCCAGTCCATCACAGGGCACACTCAGACTTAAGCACACACTCACACAAGCAAGTTAACCTACCAGTATGTCTTTGGACCTGGGGCCCCAGAGCTGTGAGGCAGCAATGCTAACTACTGCGCCAACATGCTACTTGTCAACGTACTACACCATTTTTTAAAATATAAAGCAGTAATTTATATCCTTTTCCATCATTCTAAATTGCATTGTGATTATCTTTCCCTAACAGCAGTGACACTCTTAATCACAACCTTGTTTAAAGCTTATAACAAAACAAACTGTATCTGTTTTTCATGATGGAGTAGTTGTATTATGACTATCTACAGACTTTCAGCTGGCAATTATAGAGAGTTTAACCTTCCTACAGTTTCCTTTGTTGTAGGCAATTCCCATTAAATTCTATAAGTCTGACTCCATGTTCCCTTTAGAACAAAAGGTATGAACTTATTCTAGAATCTTTCTTTGCTCATATTTATTGAACCAACATTATTTGTTTAGTAAAATGAAAGCTGTGAAACATATCATAAGAAACACATTCAGAATGGTACGAAAATACTGTACAAGAATGCATCTAAAGTATTGTTTATTAATATAAATTGATTTGTTATCAGTGTTATCTGTAAGGTAGCTTCCTTTAGTATTAACAGAGTATGGAATATAAACTGCATTTCTGCCTGAAACAATAGCATGGAATTAATCAATTATACACAGTGTTTCTCTGAATAATTTTACATACAATCTTTTTTATAATTCAAATTTTGCTAACAGGTTGATTAATATTCTTTAGACTTCCCAAGAAACAATTGTAATTATTCAGGTTCTGTGTCATTGAGAAATGCCCAATGCGGGTGTCATTTTTCCAAAAGTTCATTTTGCTGTAATGTTTTCATCACAAGCCTTCAAGTGTTCAGGAGCAAATAAGTATTTGGATTTTCACCTGAGCACTTCAGAAACTAAATATAGTGATGTATTGCTTGAAAACAGATGTCAAAAAGTGCAAAAAAAAACTATGTGTGTTGCCTATTCAAATTCTACACCCCCTTTTCACAATTTTCACCTTTTGTTGCCTTAAAGCCTGTAATTAAAAATAACTGAAATGTTTCTTATCTACAAAGAATATCCTAAAACTTCCAAATAAAAAAATAATAACATTTTAGAAAAATTAAAATAGCTTTGCTGGATTTTAATTTTTCCACCTCCCTTGTAATAGCACTCCTAATTTAGCTTGTCTGGAGATAATCCGAAAATTATCACAGGGCATGGTCAATCATCCAGTAAGATGACAACCAATCAGGGACCTGGGTCTCCACTCCACCTGGTAGCTTCTTGACCAATCACCAACTTAAAAAGCAGTGCATCACCTCTAATTCCGCCAGCCTCCTCTCTCCGCTGAACCAACTTAGCTGACAACAGAACCACTTACCTGCTACACTTGTTGTATGAGTTTTGGGACTTCTTGGAACTTTTTCCCCAAGCGCCAAGTTAGAGGGTGAGCCTGAACATGAAACCAGAATTCTGCCTGAGGTCTAGCCTAGCTATCACCGTGCATGCGCTCGATCACCAGAAAGAAACGGTTGGACTTTTTGTTGATATACCCGAACAGAACATAATTCAACAGCAGCCACTACGCATTTCTGTGTGATTCTCCCCGACTGAGCAGTTACCTCCCTGTGCACAGACCATGTCCCAGTTCGACTCAACGCTAACCTGGACAATCCATTTGAGGGAATGGACTGTCAACGCGAGGCTATAGCGGGATCCTTCTCTCTCTCTCTCTCCCTGACGTTCCCAGCTGCCTCAGGACTGGAGTGGCATTGAGCCAGCACAGCATGGATTGGACAGAGCTGGGATGGACCCAGTCAACTGTTCCCCATCCTTCTGTTACAAATCCACGGCTGTTGATGAGTATAATTCAGTATTCACCCTCTTGAGAATAAAATTGTTATATTAACACATTATTATCAGTTTAATTCTTTCTATAGCCATAGTTACTTAAGTGTGCCTCAATGTTGATTAACTTAATGAGACTGATGAGGAAGTTAGAATAACCAACAGTATACTACCGTAATAGACCTATTTTTATATATCTTTTCTGTCTCAGCTTAATATTTTGAATATTTTATGTACACATTGTTTCAATATATCAATAAATGTATTCCATGTGTTGTAAATCCTTGTGATGACTCCTTGTTGCTTTGCCAATTGATTCCTAAGACAAAGTAAACTCACGCAATTTACTGTTACAACTAAATATAGTGCTAGTAAATTCACAAAACCCCTACAGCACCAAGGAGCTTTCTAAAGGACTGTGGAAAGGCACATCTCTGGGGACAGGTATAAAAATATCAAAGATCCTGAAAGCTGTGGGAAGACTTCAAGATGGTTGTCCTTTAATGCTCTCTAAGAAACCTGACAGAGCTTGAACAGTTTTGCAAAGAAGCATGGTCACATATTGCCAAGTTTAGATAAACAAGGTTGGTAAGGACCTATCTGGCAAACTAACTGCAGTTCATCAACCAAGTATTAACCCAGCTGGATGGAAACTTATCCAGTTATGATATTTCAGTTTTGTATTTTAATCAAATACTTTTTACCAATAAAATAGTTTTTTCCCCTGAAAACTGTAAAGTACAGTATAGTGTGTGTATGAGAGGACACAACCCTCATTAGAATGTAGGAAATGCTGAGGTACTGACGCAGACAAATGTGAAAAAGATTCACGGGGGTCTAGACTTTCTGCAGGAGCTGTACATACATAAATGGAAGACATGCAAAATACACATGCAGAATGCTAAATAAAATCTTACTGAGATGACAAATGTTGATTCCACCTTGTTTGATAGCCTCACTAATAAATAATACAGGAACTGCAGACCTTTAGGCAAAGATAACCCAAAGGTTTTAACTGGGCATCAAGCCATTTCAAGACAAATTTTAAGGTTGTGCTCAGCCTTGGCATCCTGAAACGGCCTCCGTTCTTCATTTTCACAGCAGTGGAGCGCAGTGCTTCCTTACCCTTTTGTTGACTTGCTCCATTGTGAGAGTAATGAGTCAGCTTCTCCAGCCCTTCCATAAACTCCCTCTGCTGAGTTGTTAATTGTTTCTGCTCTGCAAGGAAATCAGACTCTCCATGCAGCTTCAGGCTGGCAAGGTCTTGAACACACTTTTGAATTTGCTACAAGAAAAAAAAAATCAGTAGAATAAAACAAACAGAATTAGACTGATTAGCTACAGTACATTGCTGATTCTACAATATCTAACTCTAAACCATCTAACCCCTGTTCCAATTAGGGATATAAAAACACATTCGCATTTAGCGTTATAACGATCAGGATCAACTGTACAGTATTATAAATGATAACGCACAGTCACATCCAAAAGTAATAATATTGCCAGAACTAACCAATATTTCCAGTAGTTGATTCTAGAACTTGTGTAATGAACAGCAAACCAAAGGCCCAACTGGCACAGAGATTAAGTCATTTAGCGAAAATATGTTGATGTAGAATTGGATTACAATAATTACGCAATAGAGCAAGCCTTTATTAACTAACAGAAGGTTAGTATTTCAAAAAGAGGAGTGGTGTTAACCCCACTGTCCTGACCAAATTCCCCTGCCGGTCTTTCCCAATCATGGCCTCCTAACAAATCCCCATCTATCAGTTCATCACTCTGTTCTTCTCCCCACTAAAAGCTGGTATGTGGTGAGCGTACTGGCACACTTCGGCTGCCCTCGCACCATACAGATGGGTAATATACATTAGTGCTTTGAGCGCAGTCTGCATAGAAAGTGCTATGTAAGTGTAAGCTATTATTATTATTATTATTATTATTTACTACTACTACTACTACTACTACTACTACTACTACTACTACTACTACTACAAAACCAGAATTACAGTGTGGTTTCTCATTTTACAAGACTGCTATACTTGATAATACAAAATACCTGGATCTCAAGTACTGATTACAAGAAAAAAACAATATAGTACCATGCTGTTTATGTAAAAAATGTTTACTTTTTCTTCCTTTTAAAGTGAAAGAAAAAATGTAAATTGGAAAAAAAGTGTTTGATGCGAAACGTTTAAAAAGAGAATAAAAATATTGGACCATTTAGATGTGAAATGTCTTTCACTACATTTTAAAGTTCACAGATAACGGTACCATTATTCAAAGTATGGTAAAGTAGTTCTGAGAAATGAAAGTTTCTTCACATATTCTGAACAATAAAGTAAGGGTAAATTTTCATGCAGACTCCTGAAATGTAAAGAGGTGGGGAAAACAACTGCAGAAAAGTTGCGTTTAAAGTAGGATAAAGATTTTTTATGGAGAAGATATTGCTTGTCACATACTGTACCTCTTGCTGTGATCTGTGTTCAGTCAAAGCCTTCTGCAGCTCCTGAACCAGCTCCTCTAGTTTTTGATTGGTAGTTGCAGTTCTCTCCAGCAAATTTGTAGAAGATGGTTTCGCAGCCTGAGCTTCTGATCTCTCAGAACAATATGAGGCTAAGGGGGTAGACAGCCTTTTAGAGAATGGAGTCCCCATCAGTGAGGCCGGCAAATCAACTGACCTCTCCTGAGATCTGCACAGATAAGAGCTGCTGCTCTGTGGCTCATTTCCAGGCTTTTGCCTGCCTGTGAGATCAATAAAAAGGTCTGAGACAGATTTACAACATTATAAAGTTTACAAATACAGTTCTAAAAATATGCTCTCAGAAATATTTCAAATTGTGTTTGTGAACTAGTAAAAAACATATTCCCTCCATCATTTGGATGAGCTTGGATAATTGGATAATGGCCATCTTCAACCCTGCTCTTTCTGTGTGTCATCTGCTCTCTTCTGTCTCTGTAAAAATGTTTCAGGTTCACAATATAGAACTGCACCCCCTCAGAACAGATTCCAGCACTCTTCTCCATAATACTGTGACCTTTCTGCTTACTTTCTAAATTATGACTTCTCTTTTTTTTCACATAACCCTCATTCTTTAGAGTGATTTCAAGGTGATTTGGCATGCACCGTCCATGCTCCTCTCAGCTCTCCTTCTCACCTCTTGCTCATGGGACTGTTTAAGGAGACCTCATCTTGTCCGGCGGTCGTTCTCTTTCCTCCCTGCTTCTTTTCCTCCTCCATTGTAAAATATATTCTTGGCATATCTTTTACAGTTAGGGGTTTATAATTATTTATTTTTAATAACTGTTGATCATCTAGATCAGTTTCCGTGCCCCTGCTATAGTATTATTCTCAGTTTTTGGTTTCTGTTGCAGCTGTTTCAAAACTGGATTTCTGAATCTTACCAGGCTAACCTCTCTCCTTTTTCTCTGCTCATACTCATTCTCAGACTCTGTGCAAATATCAGAACTGCACAATATTTTAACCATCATATGACAGAATATCTGGTGGGTGTTTTATATTATACCTTTAATACTATTTCACATTTCAGCATATTTAATCTGTATAATGCAATTTTATAGACCCCTGTAATTAGTACTTCTCAATCTAATATATTTCTGCTGAAGATGGTGAAGCAGTGACACATTTTCATAAAATGAACCCAAGAGCAGGCACAGAAATACAGGCAAACAGCAGTGTGAGTAAGCAGCACAGTGGCACACTGTTTACAGCTACATAAACAGGGACAAGTGAAGTTCAAAACCAACACAGTACAAAGCTCCAGAAGAGAATTCAGTGAATGAAGTCAGGGCGAAGCAGGGTCCAGAATACAGGAAGCAAACACAGAGAGAACTTTGTAACTTGGGGCAAAGCTTGAAACATAGCCAAATCTACGACAGAGTTTCTAACCACTGCCAGATCATGGCTTATGATTTCCTGAACCACCTGAGGTGAGCAAGGTGGATAATTGCCTCCAGGTCGTACAAGACTACTGTCGAATAATTACCATGGTAGCTGGCTCTAAATGACAAGAGATACAAAGTGTGGCCAGCACTGTGTAGATACTAGCTCATCTATGGCATTAAGCATGACACTTTATTCACAAGTACCTGTAATACAGTATTTCAATTCAAACTGTATAATTACAGTATGTGTAAGACACCTTGCATAAAAGCATCAGACCAATAGCAAAAATAATAATGTAGAATTATTAAACCATGCAGGCAATAAAAACAATCTTTCTTGTCATTGTATTAGTCTTCAAACATTGCTCTAGTCTAGACACCTAGAAGGGAGACCTAGAGTGGCTCATGCTAGCCAAATTAACACAAAGCTGCCTGTGTTCAAATTTATGATTCTGAACATCTATCCAGAAATAAATGAGAAAAGTTATGAAAGATCAAAGAAGAGAAGATGAAAAATAATTGTTTGCAAGCGAAGTCTGCAGCAACAGATGGAAATGTTCTGGTGGGTGATGATATGCTAATCCCGAGGACACTTCAAAGGAGATGGAAAAATAAAAAAGGTTGCTTTGACCCTGAGAATTCCTTCATTTTCATTCTCATTCTCTTTGTGCATCTAAATGCTGACTGAAGAACAACTCAAATGCAACGCTGGATGCAGAGAAGCAACAAATTATTGTAAACAAGGAGGCCAGAAGGTAAACAAAACAATTAGCACAGCCAGCCTGTTGCTCTCCTCAACACAGGTGTTAAATTAAATTCAAATGTTGAAATTGCTTCCTGCTTGTATCAAATCTGAGCCAAGGACGTGCCACAAGAAGAAAAATTAATTTAAATTAAAGAACATAAACATGTACCCAGTAGAAAAGCGCAGGATGGCTTTGAGGAACAAAGACATAATTCAAATATTCTTTCAGTTCTGTCAGCTTTAAATTTTAAGTTACTTTAGGAAAGGGGAAGATAATTTTAGTTTAACAAATACTTATGAGCTGTCCAAAAATGCAATGGCATTGTGTAATTCTGAGAAATTCAGTTTTGAGAACCTGAGAGGTAATGTTAGAATAGTTATTACTTTATCATGACAACAAACCTTGTGGATCAAAGGGAGAAAAAAGGACATAGAAGGTGAAATGATTTATACAGAAGAGCAAAGCAAAATCATAATTTTAGCCTTTTTAGCATTTTTTTGCAAATTATTTGACATCCCTAAGACTACTAAACTGATTGCCACCTTCATCACTTGATGAGCTTTTCTGGTCCTCCTCCTGGGTCATGTCACTGTCAGAAATGTCATTCTTGTCTGATGGTCTCCCACTGTGCTTATTTTTCAGCTTATCCTTCCTCTTATGCTCTGTGTTAATTGTTTCCTCTTCTGGTGATGACACACTGCCTGATTTCCTGCGCTGGGACGAGACTTTAGGAACTGGTTTCACAAACTGCACACTTGGACTAGAAATGAAAATGACAAACACTGTAGTGTTTAAAACACAAATGACAAACATGCAACAGAGATGAGTCTAATCATTTATTGAGCTGTCTCTCACAAAAAGGCAGAGGCCAATTAACCTACCAGTGTGTCTCTGAACTGTGGGAGAAAACTGAAGCAACAGGAAAAAATCCACACAAACACTGGGAGAAGATACAAGCTCCATGAGATAGCAGTCTGGAATTGGACCCAAGGCCCCAACGCTGCGAGACAGCAACGCTAACCACTGCACCACTGTGCCACTCCCAGTTTCTTTTTCCATTTCAGAAAAAAAGCCATGCAGATATAGATAATGTCAAAAGTGCTATACACGCAAAGAAAATCAGAAACTACCGTACATCAACAGCAAACAAGCAAAGTTTTATATTTTTCTCCAAACCTGTACTATTTTACTTGACACATAAAGTTAAAATCATGAACAAATAAACCACAGTAGATTCAATAAAGATTGGCACTGTGGTATTAACTATTATTCAGAGTACAGCTAATAGCACTAATGCAAACACCTGTCTTATACCAAAAACACAGCATAGTTTCAGCATAGTTGGGTCTTCATGGTAAAATCCCCAAGGCTCAACCTTATGTTAGTGTTCAACAGAATGAAATTAAAAATAACAACAAAAAATGGACCATCAAAAAAAACTAGAAATTACTTACATTGTGTAATCCACCATCTGGCATTCCCTTATGTAACGGCAGGCAAAGGAATATTTAGTCTGGCTGATCTTAATGATTCTTCTTCGTGGAGAGTGCTCCTGCAATTCAGGAGAGACAGAAAATTAAAACAAAAACATACTAACTGGTCAAATTCCATGGGTGTTGGTTGCAGCACCAATAGTGACCAATAAGAACAGAGAAGCACTGCTGGCCATGAAGCCCCTCAGACAGAAAGAGGAAACCAATAAGAGGAGGACGCCAAGAAGAGGCCAGAGGCTTGACCAAACTTGCTCATAAGTGCCTCTGCTCCAGGATGAGAAGCAAACTCTCCCTCTTTCCCTCTCCTTTCCGTTCCTTCTCTGCTCCAGTCCTCTTCATTATTTCCCAGTTCCCGGTCCTCTCTTTTCACTCCCAACCTCATACCATCTCCCTCTGCCTGAATTCCTCACTAATTCTCTCTCCTCAACCACAGCCAGGTCCTCTGCCATTTGAGGTGAACTCTGGTGTTGCTAACCTTCTATAAGAGCTGAACCCACCAGTTATCTTTGGTCTACTTCCTTTCCTGAGCTCTCGGCTTCTCCATCCATCTCCAACTACTCACAAAGGTCACAAAACTCATCAACTGGATCTTATCTTCACAGACGGCTGCCCGTCACACTCAAAGTCACTCGTCTGGACTATTCTAATTCTGCCTGTGTATTCTAAGTCGAATTGTTGAAGCCGATATCCTGGCTTCTTTCAAGAAATGGCTGATTAAGATCCTTGGGTCTATTAGCTACTACCTGCCCAACAAAAGGGCTTGATGAGCAGAACAGCCTCATTTCATTTGTAATTCTTCTTATATTCTGAACCCTACTTTATCTCCTTCCCTCTCTCATTCATGTCTCCCACTTCCACCAGCTCCTATTGTCACCTTTTTCTATCACTCTTTAATTTTACTTTATTTTCAATCTGTACAAGTAGCCTGACTCATTCTTTAAATTTAACTCAGACTGTTAGTCCCATTCTCTTTGCCACTCTTATCCCATCTCTTCTCACTATGCCTGTTCATCCCCTTCCTATCCCTGGCTCTCCTTTGTTCTGCTAAACCAGAACTGTGTTCAGACAGAAATGTAGGTTGTCCTCTGCTTTGGTTATCTTTCACTCTTTACTTTTTATTCCTTCTCTTCAAAGTACACTTTCGTCACTCATAGTTTAAAACATTCAGTCTTTTACAAACAATCCTCTTATTCACCTTTTCCTCCCTTAACAACCCTTTTCCCCTTTCCTCTCTCATCCAAGGACTTTACCGTGCCTCCTGTTTTTCCTCTAAAATCTGTGACATCTGCAAACTCTTCAACCCTCTTCATCTCCTGCCTCACCCACCGTCCCCCATACTCAGCCTATTCACCTCCCACCTCCTCCTGGTTCCCATATTTCTGCTGCCATTAATGTAGGTTACTCTGGCTCTCTTCCTCCTTGCTTCAATGCTTAAACCTATCACTTGTACTCAGAACCCACACAACTCTTCCAGGCTCCTGCCTTCGACCCCCTTCTCTTTGTTTCCTCTCTAGCATCAGGTTGTTTCACCTCAAATTTTAAATATACTTGCATTGCGCCCATCCATCCATTTATCCATTTTCTAACCTGTTTTACCACTACAGGGCCATGGGGGAGATGCAGCCTATCCCGGCAAGCAACTGGCTAGATACACCCTGGACGGGATGTCAGTCCATTGCTGGGCACACTCAGACATAAATTCACACACATTTACTCCAGGGCCAATTTTCCCAGAAGCCAATCAACCTTCTGGCATCTGTTTGGTCTGTGGGAGGAATCTGGCGCACCCAGAGGGTAAATTATTTGGGTGACATTTTTATGCAAAGCAACATACATCTGAAAACATTCATGCAGCTGGGCTTATTACTGCAGCAATGTGAGTGCAGTATTCTGCTCAAGGGTACAGGAGCACAGACATACAAGTGTAGAGTACTTACTACTTCACTACAAGGCTGTGCCAAACAATCAAACACAAGCAAGCGGAAAACAAATATATCAGCATTTCTGTCAAATGTGAATATTAATATATTAAACTCATATATACTCTTATAGCAAAAAAAGCATTTGTTAGAACAAATTTCAGACAATAGTTCTTCTGCTGTACAGAATGAAATGTAAGCACAGTACTGTAAACTACTTTATTACCACATTGTCTACTTTTCTGTTACACAACTTAAAACTTAGTTTCATCCATTCTGATTTTCTTTTATAATATTTCAGTATGGAGGTTTTATTTTGCATAAGCCCACTTTCATACTTTCACAGTACTTTGATTAAACTAAGTACTACCTAGTACATAGTACAAGTTGGAAAAAAATGCCTAAAAATATAAAGAAGCAGTTGAGCACTCGGCTTTATATTTACAGAGATGTTTCAGCGTAACCCACAGATTGTTTTAGGGAATTCAGAATTAGGAATAAGAACAGGGAAATTGCATATATTTAAATGCAATGAAAAACATTTCCTTTGATTGATGCAGCTCATCAGTATGTCCAGGACAGATGTAAAAATGTCAAGATGGCTCACATAAAAGGAAAACAAGTACCTCATGTTATCAGTATTGCCTTAATTTTACCCAAGATATAACATCCCTTTTGAATTCTGCGTATTGTACTTACTTTTCTCTTGTTGTATTTCAGAACAGTGTACAGTTTATCTGACGCCTCAGTTCTGCGAGGAGTTGCTATGACAACCCCAGGGACAAAGCAATCACCTGCATCCTCTGTCCCAGTTCCAACAAACACAAAATCCCCAACCTGTGATAAAGAATCAGGAGCCTGGATTTGTACGATGTCAAGTTTAACTGTAATCAATCATAACTCAACACACAACCCAACTCATATTTAACCAAAACGCTGATTTAAACCTTCTGTCCTGAACCATCTCATGATGACAGCAATTGAGGAATCACTTACAGAATAACAAATTATAGAATAACAGCTGGAGAGGAACAAATGACATTCTGTAGCTGAAGGTCAATAGCATCTTAATGTGTTTTCATTTGTCCAGAGTTTACAGTATTTCATCTTACATCTTCAACCCTAGAAATCTTTTCAGGCCTAGTCTGATTGATGATTTATTCTTCCTTTACACTTTCACAGGAAAAGCACAAATGTTTCACTGAAAGCATAAGATTTCAAACAAGAATCTTGAACTATTTTCACTTCTGATATACATCATACTTCTTTACTTCCCTTCATCCCTGCAAGACCTGGGACTTTTTCAACTCCCAAGTTTGTAACCTTTTCACTCTTTTGTGCCCCACTAGTTATGTTCCCATTTTGTGGCATTCAGCTTCAACATGCCTTTTAAAAAGACATTTTACTGGAAGGGTAACCAATCAAGTCAGTTCATAATGGAGAAACTACAACAGCAACCCAGCAAGGTGCTAATGCCTGGTACAAGCAGCAACAATAATTACTGTAAATGCAAGTGTTTGTCTATGAAGTGTTTCTTTAGATTCTCTGCCAGCACCCTTTTACATTACATCATTCTCCAATCAGCACTCACCAATAATTCTGATAGTTCAGTAACAGGGTCTTATAAGCATTTCTTTATAATTAGGACTCTGACAAGACTTTTGTTCCATAAAATGGAAGAGACGAAGGAAACAATTCAGCAGTGTCAAGTCCTCAAATTTTAAGAACAAATGACATTGTGACACGTTAATAGAATACCAAATCTCTCGCTGCCGGCTCCTAGAGTTAATCAGTGTTGCTGTCATGTGATCAATAATAAAATGCAACACTACAGTTCTATCTGGATTCTTACCGCAAGAGGAGGACAAGGTCCAGATCCTCCAATAGAAATCAAAAAGCCCAGAGGAACAATTTGAGTGTCTCCTCGTGTGAAGTCTACAGTTGCTTTTTTGGAGTTTAGGCATTTAATCACAGTACCTTAAATTGAACATATACACAAAGTCAAAATGTGCTAGAAGACATTAAAAACATGGTATATACATATTTTTGGCATAGGATACATGTTTCATAATTCAAATGCTCTTGAATACAATGCAAAGAAGAATAGTGAAAAGTGAACAAGTCCTAGAGTAGATTACAGGTCTCATACATTCACTGAAATAAAGTGAAGCGAAAGGAAACTCACCTGGATAATAAAAACCGTCAATCTCTGACCTTGCAATGACTTTCTGACCTCTGAGTGTGTCCAACACCCTTTTGTGTTTATAAGGCACAGCAGAAGTGTTTCTCATTTGGTTCTCTCTTTCCTGCAAAAGCAAACATGCAGGCATTTCTTTTATTTCATGCTGTACTTTATTTTTAAACTCAAAGTAAGTCAACACAGGACAAAGCACTGATGAATATGCAGTGTTATAAAGCTAGTCCTTCAACAGCAGAATGCTCATAACTTTCATCTTTGGTTCCCTGATCTTTTCTCTGTTACACAGGTATATCTATGCCTTATGTTTTCCTACTATCCTATAATTAAAGTTTTTTTTGCTCAACACATTGGATCTTCTTATACAATAAATAGGATATATGATCTAACACATTTTCCTTCAAAAACAAGGAGGTTGCAAAGTTTGAAATACCAAAAGTTCACTTTGACATGAGATGCCAATAACTGACTGATGAATGACAATTAAATGATTGATAAATAACGTTCGCTTGTAAAGACTTAATTAAACTAAAACATAACTGATTATTCTTCACTTCATAGGGAACTTGGTACGTCTTTATTACAATGGCAACACACAAAAACAAAAAACGCACTTAAAGAATTCTTCAGAAATTTTGATAGCAGCAGCCACTTTTAGATTTCCTCGCTGAAATCCAGCCATTCCAAGGATGCTAATAAACTTAGGGAACATACATTTAATCCTCTTGGTTCATCTAACACAGGTACCAATTAACACATTGGTTCAGCTACTACTGCATTGTCTTTAAATGACTTCCCAGAAGCCTCAAGGGTGTCTACATACAGTACGTTCGCAGCCAACACAGCGGGAGAGTGCAGAAGCATTGTACTGTATGCCTACTGCTGAAGAGAGCGATAAATCAAATAGAAATTGACCCCTTACTAAACATGAACTGCTGGGTTTTGAATTCCTGCTTCAAACATGCCTGCTTCTTGCTTCAGAAAAATCCTTCCACCAGCAGTCTCTCAAGAGAGACTTACACACTGGAAAATTGCTCATATACAGTAGCATCCATCCAGAAATGCGTGACAAAACCACACCAGGTAATTATAGAGCAACAGCTTGTACTTCACTTACTGTGCATGAAAGGCTATGGAATAAACACTAAGAACTACACTAGAGGACCATCTGTATGGCAATAAGATTGTAAGGAACAGTTAACATGGATTAAGATCATTTAAATCTTACCTGACTACATTGTTAGAACTCTTTGACCAAACAAGAAAAATAATGGTGTCACAAATCATGTTATGGTGAATTTAAATATTCAGAAGGTTTTAAAAACAAAACAATAAAAAAAAAAACTTTAGCAAAAGAATTCCATTTAATGCATTTGTAAATGCAGGCTCCAAGTACATTATACTGTAGTTAGATAGCAAGTAACGCTTGGAAATCAAGATGATATTTTTTCAGGAATAAACTAAAAGGTACCAAATTTGAAAAATAAAGAAGCACCAGCTCTTCAAGCTGCCAGCCATACTCTGGGATTAATGCTAAACACAGGAAAAACTCCACTTACATGGGCAACATGTAACATTATGGACAATTTGTGTGATATTATTATATTGTTATATTAAATTAAATTTAACATGTGTACCAAATTATAATGTTCATTTTCATTTTTCTCATTTATACCCTCTTTCAGCTCTTATTTTATTTTTAATTTTGGGTTTAATATAAGAAAACATTAAATTGATGCAAGTAATTAATTGTGTCATTGTCAATTTATGATCGATTAGAGTAAGTAGCTAATTCAAAGTTAAAGCTGTTTGCTGTAATAGTGAACAAAACAGAATGTTCTTTGCTGTAGAAATGAAATTGATCTAAAAAAGGATTCACTGGCTCTGAATTCATGAAAACATTGCTATATTTCGAATTCAACACCTAGTTGTTGGAGTCTTAGAACTAGGCCATACATTTTTTAATTAAATCTAGGAAAACTGCATGTTGATAATAACATCAATTACAATGACTTATTTAATAGAATTTTCCTGCATTTGAAATACCTGTAACTGTCAACAGTGTAAATTCCTGAATTAAAGGGTTTTAAATTATTTTTTTTTCTTAACAATGTTTTTTTAGGACAGCTGACATTTTTAATCAACGTCAATTTTTATTTTTTAAATTATTGTAGTTACTTGCAATTCTTTCCAGTTTTAAATTATAAACTCTAACTTAGCGAATGCAGAGAAAAGCAGTATTCCTGCCAATGACTCTGTGACCATAAGGCACAGAGCGAAATAATTAAATAAAAGTAATGCACTATATATTTAAATTCAAGGTTATACCAGGTTAAATATAGTGAGGTTGAAGTATTCCCACCTATGCTACACTATAACCAGGATATTTCTATTATTTGTTCATATAGTATGGATTTACATAAAACTGGTGAGATTCTGCATTATGGTGTATTTTTTACTGAAAGTGCATGTAGACCCAAAGAAATGTATTTTTAAGGATAAAGGACCTGGAATGATTTTGCAAAACCACTTTGACTTTTGGATTTGCTTGTCTTTCGTGATGATGAGGTCTGAGACCATTCAATGTCAGACAGTGGCTATGTATAATAAAAATGTTCAGATTTGGAAACTAGACATAAATAATATAAAGAGGTACAAACACTAGTCTTTCTTGCAATAGATCTTGTGAGCTTTAAACATGAATCAACTACAACCTTAACAGAAAAAAATGCTTGTTTTTGTTCTTGCTTTTTTCTCTAACCAGTTTTTGTTTTAACCTGCGTAAGTACAGTATGTAACCTACAGTATATGCCATTCTGTTCAATTCTGCATCTATAATTTATTAAATTATAATCTGAGAAATTCAATTTCTAGGCTGTGTCTGAGCTAAATGCCTGAGTGATATGTAAGTTTGCTTCCAATCATACAGTATTTGATTGCTATCCGCTTTAAGCTTGTTTCAGTGCCATTTCCAGCGTAAGCACCCCCTCTCAAAACCAAACACCTGCTGCAGGAGATCACTTATTGCTGAATATGACACTGATTAGATGGCTGATGAGTTATTGCATTTTTACGAACATCTTGCCAGACAGCATTTAGAGCACTGTTCCGGAATACTGTACAAAAAGCAAAATATTTTTGTACCAGCCAGGAAAATAATCAAATCCTACATGCATGACTTTTAAGCAGATTTCTTCTGATGTCAACTACAGGTTACACTGTATTTTTTTAAATTCTTTCTTATACAACTCAGCAACATCTAGTCCAGGAATATGCATCACTATGTTTAAGAATTAAGTTTTTATAAATTAAGCCAACTACCTGTTATATCACACAAAATTATCTATATATCTGCTTTTAAAAGAAAACAAAAAATAAATATTAACAATCTAGGGTTGGATAAAACAGGTTATTTGTGTCCAAATGATTGTCAATGAGATGCTTCTATTATTAATTTCTTTCAAATCAACACTTTTTTAAAAAGCTTTTTTGAAAATCTTTCAGCATCTTTCTTTCCACAGAGTAAATGTCCCTGAATTTTTTTTCATAGAGATTCTAATGTATTGCAAATCAATATTCTTAGTCAGAAATAATAAAGTTCGGGTTGATAGCTGCGTCAGCATGCGTAGGCTGCAAAGGAACAAGTAATAGGTTTATTCCATGCTGAAAAGAGAAGAAAGAAAACACAACGTTTCAGCTGTGGAGCCTTCTTCGGTTCTTAAGAAAGACAGAGCAGAAAGCAAAGATTAAATAGCATAGGAGAACAAAAGGTGGGAGAGTGGAGGAGGCGGGAGAGGAGAGAGGTAGAGAGGCCACTCAGGTGACGCAAAGTGGAGAGGGGTGAAGAAAGGGGTGAAGTCGAAACCTGCATGTGAATAGAGAAGATTACATGAAAACAAGTCTGTCATTGAGAGAAGGAGGAAGGTGTGAACCACATTTCAGGATAATTTTTGTTTCTCATGTCTTTCTGCTATGGGAGTCAAGAAACCCTTCTTTGAGAATGCAGACAGATCAGTGTGATCATGGCCGTCTGAGGCGAAATGCGAAACGTTAAAGCAATTAATGTACTTTAGCTTTAAAAGTAACACTGTTACTTAATAATTCTGAACAATTATTTGTTCTTTTTACAATACTTTCGGCCAAAACGTAACTTTGGAACAGTGATATACAGTAGGACAGATTACTGGATCTCATGAAACCTTTGTAAATGTACTTTCACCACATTTCTTTTACACTTCGAGCATGAGGAGAACTTGTTTACCTTAATCAAAAATGTATAATGTGCTCAGGCTCTTACTGTAAAAGCCAATGAGTACAACAGACAGAAAATCTTTACTCACGTCAGGCTGTCTACACTTTGTAGAGCCCCCTGTATCTGCCTTTCCTTTTACAGCTTTCTGCAGGTCAGAGGCCTGCTGCAGCAAGGAGAGACCAGTGTCTATCTCATCCTCCAGCAGTGACACATCTTCCTGTGCAATCGGCCAGCCCAGCCTGTCCAGAGCCTGAAGCAAGGCCTCCTTGTGCTCTTTGAACGGCACCGGCTTCTCACTGCCAAACCTCGGGGAAACAGACTTTATTTGCCCAGATCTTTCTTAAGGTGGGTGGGTGGAACAAACATGCCCCACGTTTAGGGAAAATTCTCAAATAAAACATTACAAAAATCAACTAAATGACAGTGTTTACTGTGGTCACAGCATTTGAAAAAGAAAACAATTAAAACAATTGTACAAAAATCGAAACAAATTATTTTAAAGAGAGCTACCTAAAGTGTTTATCTCATGTACCCATAGTCTTTTCTTTATCGTTATTTTTTATAACAAAATACCACTATATACCGTACTTATATGTCAATTTTGTATGCGTACTGTACAGTATGTACAGCTACTGTTAAGGAAGGTATCTTTATTACCATTATTATATTATTATTAAAACACTTCATTTTAAGAAATGTCATACTTATCTCTTTCTTCTTGGGTCAGTGCTCTCCATACAATTAAGTTAAGGCGCCTGCAGAATAAAAGTTTTTTTTTTTAATCATGCTAAATTTAAGTAAAACCTATTATTATGAATCTGTGCTATCATTTGCCTGTGTTGTTTTTTTTATCACTTGATTATCCCTCTACTACAGAATCCTACAGATGCCATACCTAAAAAATCAAATAACATACTAATACAGCAACAGGGTCATAACATGATGATCCTAAATCACAGATTCATATTCATTGTAGTGTCTATGTTCATAAGTGAGAGAAAGACTGTTTCCTTCTCACTTTAGAGAAGCAATATAGAATAATTTCCTACAGTACTGTCCTCTTTTGAAAAGCATCAAACACTGCATAGTGTGAGGACAAGATGGCAAGGAATAAGGCATTGTCAGCCTTTGAGAATACTAAGACTGTGAACACACACAAATGAAGGGGAAACTGTTGTTCAAAGCCCTTGGAACTCTTTTGATTTTTTTTTGCTTGTAAACATAATGCTGAAAAGTGGGCACAGGGGAACAGGCTCACCTTTCATAGGATTTCAAAGCGTGTTCAAGCTTCTTCTTGTAGCCTTCTAGATTCACGGCTTGAGGGTTAACCAAAGTGAGCTGCTGTTTACTTCCACTGACATGAGCAAAGGGCAGCACCTGCAGCCAAGGTTAATATATTTTAAAAATGGACTGAAACACTGAAGCCGGGACAGAATGTGAGAAACTGAGGAAGGAGAGTTCCTAAATTTCTTCAAATCTGCAGAAAAGGATACAATTCGTTAAGTGGAGGAAAAAATTAGCTGGAATGCTAGAAAGTTAAATGAAAAGACAGTTAAGTCAAAATAATGCAAGAGACATTCCAAATGCAATCATAGAGTTAAATTTCCCACACTCTCATTTTGTCCACCATATTACATCAATTCATTTTGATTGAAAATCAGCTTTACTATAAAATGAAATGAATAAGAAACATACTTTAACAACTTTAAATTAAAGCATATAAAGCAAAATAATTAAAGCATATGTGAGTGGCGTACCGTGAATACTCCCTGTACAGAATTAATATATGTACATTAATAACATAAAACATTGGACATTTGGTTAATTCTACATATACATATTTAATGTAACACAAGTTATATGTATAGTAAATAACGTATATTTATAATATAAAATACAATACCTCATAGCCTTCCCTTTTGCAAAATGAAAAAGGAAGAGCAGCAAACAAAATTTGGCGAAACATTGCAGAAGGGGCATGTTAGGGATGAAAAAGCAACAGGCTAATCTGTTTGATATTATCTGAGTGAGGTCCTGAGCTCACCCCTACGATGGAAGAGGAGTAGTGCATCCCCTTAATGAAGGGTTGCCATGGCAGCCTCTTTTGTTGCTACTTTATATCCTAAGCAGTCCCTTACATCGGGGCGAGCACAACCATTCTAATATACTATTGTATTTGTTCCTTAATACATTTTTCCCTTCGGTTTCTTGGTCAGCACAAATGTACACAGTCATCAGGGTTGATTCAGTTATTTTGCTTAAAAATATAAAAATCAATTAGTGCAGGAATGCAGAGATCACTTACTTTAAGCACCAGGAACACTGTAAATCTGAACTAGACTGCTGAATCTTGATTTCCTTTTTATAAATTTTGTAACAGCAACAATAAATTATGAAGTTTGATGAGGTTCAATAAATGATGCCAGTACATTCTGCTACAGCCAACTGTCACTGGTTAACCTTGAAAAAACATTTCCGTACTGAGCAACCGAAGAGTCTTGCCACCCAGAGGTCATAGACACACTGAGAATGTGGAAATCACCATTTCTCTTCATGTGCTTTGGAGGAAGAGAAATTGCACCTGCTGGTTAGTTACCCCAGCTCTTGCATCAAGGTTATCATAATCAGGTCTAGTGTCTCCTTTCAAATGTCCACTATAATTTGGTCTCTGAGTATAGGATAAAAAACACGGTTTTATCAGGCTGATATGTGATTGACAATGCTTAAAACACACAGTAAAGCTGACAATCTATTTTTATAACTGAAATTAGCTTTACTGAGAACATTGTACTGAAGAGAACTGGTGTCTTACTTTCCCTATCAGCAACTGGGTCCGTGAATTTTCCGGCCCAATCACTAGAAATCTGAACCTGAATCTCCTCTGGCTCAGGGGTCCAATCACCACGCTTCTTACAAGAGCAAGGAGCACCTTAACTGGGCACCTCTATCCTATAATGACTCAAATAAGATTACCTGCTTACTAGTTTGCACGAGTTAGAAAGAGTGCTTAATATTATCTCTTTCATTGTTGCTGAGATTCTGGCACATCAATCATTTTTTTTTTATTTATGTTTTATTTAAATCATATACCAGCAACTAGACTTAAAACTTTATAGGCTTATCAAACTTGTGGTGTGCTAATGCCTAAAACATTATGAAATAGAAGTGGTGTGTCAAACATATCTTTTCAGCTTTGTTTTTCAAAAGTTGATTGTTAGAATTGGAAAAATGTATGCAAATAACTGTACTGCAGCTCCTAGTTTTCCTAGTAAGTATTCAAAACTCAAAAAAAGAAAGAATTATAGGACATTTTTTTAGCATTACAGCCTATAATTGAATCCTTTTAGTCAGTGGAGATGTTAGGACACCCTCTACTGTTCTTACACACATATCACAATCTCGTCAGTCTTACAATCAGTGTATTTCAAACTACTATATTTTGTGATGTCTGTTTAACGTTACAACATTTTCTTTCGCAAAGTAAAAAGTTTTTTCTAACCCTTCAACCTACATTTAGTCAATACATTTTTAGAGAAGACTGGATTTTCTTTAAGGCAGGCATCTTCTGTATGAAGAAAAAAAATTAGTGATTTTGAAATCACTGCCATTGAGCAAGGAGACCTGAGGAGAGGGTGGGACAGAAATTAGAGGGGGGGCATTTAGGACTTGGAGTGGTATTTACATGGCAAGAGGGTACAGTTTTTTATTTCAAGATTAGAAATTAGCAGTGACTGTATGGTAAAATCAGAGAGATAAAAATTAGTTCTCTGGAAAAGAAAAATAGACTACACACAGGATGGATTGTCTTTTAATAAAGAGTTAAATCATAACCGGCTTGCATGACACACATTAAATCACACATTATCTCTCCAGCCAGGGGCCTCATATGAGCACTATTAGGGAAAGCTACATTTTCGACTGGAGGGATCAGCTGAGGTGTCCCTGGAAGGCTTGTGTGGGGAGAAGCCATTCCGGGGCTTGAAAAGAACCAGGTGCATTCGCTCGGTGAAAATGAGATTGAGGGGCCACAGTTAAGCACACCTGCTGACAAAGCTGATGAGAGGCATCTGGTATAAACCAGGAGGGACAGAGGAGGTGAGAGGCTCTTTGAGAAGGGGAGACTGGTGAAGAGAGCCAGAGAGAGAAGAGAGTTGAAGAATTATAGTTAACTGTTATTATTCTTTAGAAGTCTGGTATTAGTTCAACCTCTCATATAGTTAGGAAAAAGGTTTCTGTAAAAGTATAGTTAGGACTCTGGCAGGCATAAGGAGTTTGTTTTGGTATATTTTGATTTAGAGACAAAGTTTTTTCGGGGGGAATTCTTTTAACAGAACTTTAAATAAACAGTAATAATAAACAAAAGGCAATGATAAACAAAAATGGGTAAACATTATTACAGTTACATTTGTTAAATAGCCATGTAAACATGGTGGCTTAAGACAACCTAGGCCTTAGAGACTGATATTTATAAATGTGAAGCACATGATCTACCAGACAAATTAAGGAGAATTATGTTCCAGGAAACACAAAAACAAGTACGAACTTGCTTTGTTTGCATACAGTAGATTTCAAACATGCATAATTTACCAAAGCTCCTCAGAGAGCACTGTGTTTGTACACATAACCACCACGGCAGGTTACTGTATTAGTCACACCAAGCCTTCAGTGGTTACAAATGAATGCATTGTTTTAGGAACAAAATATTTTGTGACGTACAAAATGAGATTAAAATGAGCTGGAATTCTGTAATCCTGCTTTGTTTTCAACAGGAGTGTATAACAACATACTTGACTTGCATGAATATAAGAAACAGCTTTAAACTCTGCACTAACTCACTCCCTCAATTAAGAATTGAGTTAATGGCTGTGTCAATGAATAGAAAAAGTTAATTGTATTAATTTGACACATTTATAAATTATTCATTAAATAGCGGGAAATGAGAAAGTTATATTTAAATAAATCATTAATGTTGTCTAAAATATTCAAAATATTCATTTTCATGTGTTAACTCCCCCCCCCCCAAATTTAGACCTCTTCCATGTTCATGAATCCTTTTTGTAAAACACTTTTCTATTAATTTCAACTTTTTCAAATACTGAATAACAGCAATTCTAGACATCTAAAGGTATTTTGTATGTAAATGTGCCGCAACTGCACCCTAGTGGGGAATGGTGTTAATTACAGTGCAAGGAAGACGGAGGTTTGCAGGAGAATACAGAGAAAATACTGTACATTATCATCAACAGAAAAATCCATTGCAGTTACATACTGTAGCATATCATTCATCCGGAAAAAAAAACTAAAGTGCTAGAAAGCTCAATAAAATAAAAATACTGTCATTTGTATTTTCTGGAAACCTAAACCAGTCAACACCCAGAGGCATTAGAGGAATACAGTAGTATTATGATTAGAGCAATAATCAAAGCTAAAGCTTCATTGTTAGGAGTACACATAATAAACAATTGTTTTCTCTTATTACACACTTCTCTGATTATTTTAATGTCAACTGTGCAAATAACAGAGAAATCATCCTTATAGAAGAAGTAATGTGAACCCAAAACACAACATAAACAAATCGTTCTATTTGTGTTTTAATTTGCCTGTGTCATTAGAAATAAGACAGTATATTAACAATATGAGTGAAAATGAAAATAAAATGTATTTTAATGGAGCATGTTCAATGTGGTTTAAATTATAACTTTGAGCCTTACCTCATCAAACACCTTAGAATAGATGTATTTGTCCAGTATTGGAATGTATCTGGTGGTCTGTGGTACAGCTGTAGGGGCTAAAGCATCAATTATGGTCAGTCTCCTGGCAACCAAACCATTCGCTTTAAGCCAGCGAGCAGAGGACATGTCCAGAGATCTTTCACAAAGACACGAGCAGAGCAAAGGTCAGTTCAGAGGTCCATCACAAACAAGCAACCGGAACCAACTATCAAGAACTTTAATGTTTACAACTGAAAAGACCCATTGAAAGCGGAAACATTTTCCATTTAACAAATAAGTATTTTTGAAACATAATACATTTAATAAAAGAGAACATTCATCTTGTGACCAATATGGAGCCCTGAAGCCTTGTTATGCTTTGTAAGTACTTTGTAGTTCTCTGTACTCTTGTTAGGGTTTCCCTGTATGTCTCTATATTTCTGCGGCACTTGGCTCCTCTATGGGAGAGAGAGAGGTGATGTGAACAGAGGGACCCCAGGGTGATGGGCTGATGGACTTTTAGTGAATGGATTTCTCTCATGCCCAGGAATCCCTCTGTGCCGCGGGGTCACAGTCCACAATGTTGGGGGTAATAGGGCAGAGTTCCTACTACTTGTGACTCTGTCTTCTGCAGATGTGGAGTACTATAATATTTCTTTTTTTACTTTAGCTCTTAATTAATAGACACAGCATGTCCCCTGCCTTTCCCTACTCCGGTCTGTGTCCCTACCCACTGTTAGTCTTCACAACCCATAAATACTAGTTTCATTCATTTGAACTACTGAATTAATTACAAAAAATTATGTTGCACATATTACACTATACTGCAGGAAACAAACCTACTTGTTTTAAATTATTACCTCTTAACGGTACTTCTGTTTGACATGACAATTGATAATGGAAGTAATAACTTACTCCTTTGGTTTTCTTCTTCTTGCTTTCTTCTGGGTCTTATCAAGAGGTATTAAATTAAGACCTAGGTTAGAAAATAAAGCCCAAGTCATACAAACATTAAATTAACCAATTGCATGAAATGAAGCAAAGCTGGTTCAAAAACGTTATTGTGGGGGGTGTTCACAAATGTAATTTAGGAACCAGCCAATAGTACACCTTCTATAATCATTTTACTTACTGTACTATTTTGTTGTGATTAAAATCTCTTTAACACTGTCAATTCAGCAGATGAAAAGGGTATTTTTTTCAGGTTGAGCTTCTAAAGAAATAGTTTTAGAAAGATGTGGTGCAACAAGATATCAGAAACAGATATAGAAGATAGATAAATTATAGACTACACACAATGACCAATTAAACATGAGAAACTATTTAAAATAACAATTTTTCCTTTAAAAAATGGTGAATGAACATTTCCACTTAACATATACACACAAATCCTATTGAACACTGAAAACACTGAAGTGTCCTTTTCTAAACTTACCATTTAGGACTTGACTTTGTTTGTCTACATTCATTTTGAACACAGACAACGTTTCTGGGAGCATCCATTCATCCAGAACACTATCGTTCTCACTTATGTCTACTCCATTGCTCAGGAATCTTAACAGGCTGGTTTTTGTATGTGCTGAAATTAGAAATGAGGAGATGAAAGATCTTACCTGTCATAAGTCAGTTCCCAAGTTACTTTCAGCATTAACTTCTCTGTTGAGGATCATGTGAATCTCAGGATTAATATACAAATAAGGATAAAGACAGGTGTCACATGGTGCCGTGGTTTGGTTGGAATTGCTACCTCACAGTGCTAGGGCCCTGGGTTCAATTGCTGGGGTGCTATCTGTGTGGAATTTGTATGTTCTCCCCTTGTTTGTGTGGAATTCCTCTGGGTGCTCCAGTTTCCTCACACAGTCCAAAGACATACTGGCAGTTTAATTAGCTTCTGGGAAAACTGGCCCTGGTGTGAGTGTGTGTCCTGTGATGGACTGACATCCCATCCAGGGCGTATCCTGCCTTGACCATGTTGCTTGGCCAGACAGGCTCCGGCTCCCTGCAGCTCTGAATTGGATAAAGGGGTTAGAAAGTGGATGAATAAAGGCACTGCTTCAGACACCACATTTTGCAAACAGCCTCTAATTTATTCTGTTTCAAAATGTTAAATTGATTAAGCACAGCTTCAGTAAAAAAGGAAATGCTCGTATTCAAAATAATATTCTACCAACATTTTTAGATCACAATTACAATTCTGACAGATTAATTAGATAAACAAGTGAAATGGATTTCATTAACAAACTCTATTAATCTGAACAAAAATATATCAAATCTGTAAATGAAATTAGGTGTGGTAATGAGCTGTCAAGCTATTTAAGAGTGTAATACCCACTAAGAACAGTGGCTGGAAGTCATGTATAAAATGGTTTTTAGCAGAACTTCAAGTTGTTGAGCTCATAAAAAGGTAATGGAAGATGAGAAACACTAGTGTAAAATGTATAACTTTTTAAGGGACTCGAATTGGCAAAAACAAACCCTATTGTAAAATCCATAGATCCAACCACATGTTTATTCAGCATTAGAAAGTTACTTTTCCCAGTTATAGGCCTACAATAAAATACATGATACCCAGCTTACTTTCTCCACACACAAGAATGTCAGCTAACATGCCACACAACAGAATTTTGATCAGCCTGTTATCTATTAGATAATAGTATATGCTTAATCACAGGCTATTCTGAACAGAAGTTGAGGCAGATGACATAAAAATTATTACCCTGCCTCAAATATTAATATTTTTATAATACATTTATTATGCTTCAGTGGTAGAGGAACATCATGCTCAAAAGTAACTTCAGTACAAAAATATTAAAACAACTATAGTGTCATAAAATAGAGTTAAGTGATATTTCCAACTATTTAAGTCTCACTAATCTATTATCACATCTGCAATAATTTCTTAAGGTGATTATGCTGTTGTTTGGACATTATTCTACTTGAAAATGCCTTTGGAGCAGATGTGACAGTACTTGACAGATGTGACAGTATATAGTACCATACAGCATGTTCACAATTTACAAGCAGTGAGACGAGCTTTTAAAAAAAGAAAGTGTGCTTTATCCAATACGTGTATAGGTTAAAGACTAAATTTACTTCCATTATTTCATTTTACAGACCATGCTGTGACAATTTAGGCACATAATTATCGTGTATTATATAATTACATTTAACAGCTTATTATAAATTCAGATGTTCTGCTAAAAGCTTCGAATGTTCTGAATTCAACATTCCTTGTGTCGATTTACATAATTGTTTTATGAAAATAGAACAAAATATCTTGAAGGGGGTTTACTTATTTAAATTCTTATAACTATTTTTAACCCTTCTTCTTAGTCCAAATTATCTGATGGTTTAATTCAATAACCTACAGTATATCGAAACATATTAAGGCAGCTGCCACCAGTTGGAATCAGTTGCAATTGAGTTTAATGCTAGTACTGTACGCACCAGGAGAATATTTGTTAGTACTTGGATTGCTGTGTTTGAGACTAACTAAAATACAAATTTAGTGTAGTTCTGAAGCATTATGGGATCACTTGCACCTAGTCCACTACCTATTATCTGTATTCTTACAATCCTAGTCCAAATGTCAGTTCATTTGCCAAGGTCATTGGGAGCAATATACAGACCGAGCATAAAAGCAAAATAATATTTCAAGTTAACTGCACACTATTTCAGAGTATCTAACAATATATGTGTGTAATGAAGAACCGTGAAAAAAATGCATTATATAGAACACCTCAGAGCTCTGAAATATCTTGTTTAATAAAGAAATAGAAGCATAGAAGTAAAGTCTATCTCACTGTTCTCTGAAAATGATAAATTATGTTCCCTGATAAATTAGGGCACCAGATAAATATTGAAAATCTGTTTTGTGTTTTGATCAATGAATTAGTTCTAGCACCCTTTACAACATGGCGACTCAGAGTACTTCACAGACATCTGTACTTTACAATATTATACAGTAACAGAAAACCATGTGAGCTCGGAGGAGAAGAAAACAAAGGGAGCAAAGTTGGATCCTCTCCTTCCCTCTAAGGAATCCTGTAGATCCATCAATTTTCTGAGTCCTTTATCAAATATAGGGTCGTGGGGGAGCCAGAGACTATCCCAGCCTGGATGGGACGCCTGGCCCCTGCACAACACACATGCCAATAAACCTACCAGTCAGCATGTCTTTGGACTGTGGGAGGAAGCTGGAGCACATGGAGGAAACCCACGTGAGCACAGTTAGATCATACAAACTCCAGCACTGTGAGGCAACTATGCTAAGCACCGTGCCACCCTATTTTTATCATTCTTGTGTTTAATTTCTTTACTTAACTTCATTAATAATAATTCCAACACTTTGTTTTTATCTCCACGTATTTACCCACCAGCATGTCGCATCTTCTGTCTACACAGGCTGTGTGGTTTGTGCTCGGCGGCTTTGTGGGTGTGGCTGAGATGCCTATGACCGCGATGAGAGACGACAGCCCAATCTACAGCTGACTGAGGCCTTACAGGGGCTTTATCCTTACAAGGGGTCTGCAATCTGCAAGCACTGTGGGCTCTCTCCAGCCTTCTGCGCTCAATCAAAAACATAAAAGAAAACATCACGATCCCCCTTTTAATTTGTGCAGTTCCTTCCATAAAATCTTTTTACAATAAACAAAGTACCCAACCTTTTTACTGTCTGACTGGCGCCATTGTGATACCAATCCAGCACCATACACTCCGCACGGAGCTTCTGTACCTTCTCCAAGTCCTTCTTTCCTTCTTCAATTTCTTCCTTTAAAATGTAGGTGTCTTCACTCTAAATAAACAGAAATCACAAGAAAAACAGATAAAACATTCCAAAGTTGATTTATTTATGATCTCATGAGGACTGCAGTAAAACTTCAGCACAACTTCAGTTCTCCTCATCATTCACGTTTTGTTAGAAATGCTGCGTTTTTGTCAAACGTGATCATAAGGCACCATAAATGATTTTATATTTTCTTTCTCTAAGTCATTCTTAGATCATAAAAAATATGAAAGGTTATAAATCAGAGGAGGCTGTTCAGAGCATCTATCCACATTGGTAGTAAGTAAATCATCTGGAAACACACTGTGGTTTGTATAAGTGTAATTCGTAGAAGTTAATAATAAAATAACAGTTGTAAAAAGTTACATGATGTTAACATAACAAGAATAAAGTGAAAGTAATGTGTATGTAAGTTTGTGAAACTGTATCTGTAACCCCCCTCTAGTGGGATTAAGGGCGCAATCCTAGATTTCATGTGTGTCTGACAGAGAATCCAAGGATTCATCAGGGGGAATAGAGATCTAAACTATGGCAAGTCATGACAAGTGATGTGGGTATTATTTACCACAAATGGAAGGGGTGCTCCCGGCTCTTTGATATCGGAATGGTAGCAGTGGAAACGACCTCCAGTCTCTCTGGAGAGCTCATGCAGGAACCTGTTGGCCTCCAGGTCATCACAGTTGAAGGAGATAGTATGAACAGGAACTGGTGGGTGCAGCTGTACCTGGGCCAGGATTGTCTTTGGAGGCTGTGCCGAGTTTAGGATATACAAAATACAGAAGAAAATGCTGTCATTTGCAGTAGATGTGATTATCAATTATTGAGTAAAATGTGCTTGTTTTTAAAGTTACGAAGCTAAGACATACATTAAATATGCCTCTCCCCCAATTTAAAAAATGAATGCCTATTTGTCTTGCAATGTAAGGAATTTGCACTACATATTTTTGAAATATCAAGGGGGAAAAAAAAGCTAAAAAAAGTTTTAACTGTCTTTAGGATATAAAGACCCAGAAAAATGCCAGAGTGATGGTAACACTTGGCAGGCAGTTACAGTACTTTAAAATATTTGAAACAACATACTTTTCCATCTCTGTTTAGATAAAAAACATGTTTTTACTATCCTCCTTAAATACTGTAAATGAAATGGCAAAATAGTTCTAATTACTTTTCACAGTAGTTGGTAATTTTTCACATTCTCTGAGCAATGAATGCAAAAATAAATAACAGTCTTATTATCTCAATTAGTGAATACCTGATCAGGTCTTCCATCTGTTAGAAGATACACTGCATCAGTGCCAACATCTGCCAAAGCCAGTCTCAATGCACCCAGTGTGTTGGTTGAGCCCCCAACCTAGAGCAAATTAAATCCCTTTGGAAGCAGCATGCTATTTAAAATTACAACCTTTTTGCCCACTGGTAACATCTAATAATCTATTATTTATGTGTTTCCTAAAAAATCTAAACTTCCAATTCTTTATCCTCATTACATTCTCTAAAATCAATTGGAAATGGCCCCAGCCACCTCCGACCCTCAAAAGACATCCCTAATACCCTCAGGCTCATACTGTAAGTTCCTAGTAAAACTCAGAAAAACATCATGAGACAGGTCAAGTTTTTCCACTTTACTTCACATAACCCTGAGCAAAGAAATAAAAGCAAATCTGACATGGTTAAAAATAATGGTAAAAATTATTTTCACCGTCTGCATAAACTGTATTATGCTGTTCAGAGCAGCATCATATGCAGTCAATAAAAAGGTATTTACTGTGAAAAATTGTGAAAATGGCCTTATGATGCAAAACAAAACCTAGAGAATCTGGAATTCATTAAACACTTACTTTTAACATTAAAATGTTTTTAATGGGCTCCCTGATAACTGAAGTGATGAAACTCAGAATCTGTGTTACCTGATATGAACCCGTGTGATATCTACCTGGAAATCTCAAACCCACCGGAACCAAGGCATTACTCATTAAATTAATATAAAAACAATTTTTCTAAAATACTTTTTTTTAGCTAACATTGGAGACCCAAAGAATGGATGAATATTCACTGTGACTACATTGTTTTTGTTAAATGCAGCATAGTGCAATATTTCCAAAACAGCACAACAAATGTTCCAGTGTATCCAACATATCTATCTTGGATCTTTTTTTATAACAATCAGAGCATTATCTGCATTGCAGGAAAAGGTCGTCACTTCAGTAAGTATACCACTACAGGGCTTTGGGGCATCATAATGTTTAACTTTAGAAAAAAACAATGATCTAGACACTCCATGCACTTTGTGAGCACACACATTTTTATCTCATTTTTACCTGGAGCCCTTTCACCCAATACCAGGCATTCTCCAAATTTTGCTCGTTCACCTCAGCCAGTCTATCCTGCCAAGCAGACACCCATGAGCCAAACTGGACAAAGTTCACTTTCGCTTTATGACGAAGCTGTTCCTAAAAAGACAGAAATCTATGCTGATTATGGTAGGATATAGTGGTATGAATACAAAATGATGAATAGCTTAAAAAGAAAGCTTTTGCAGAGATTTTGTGTTCTGCTAATGTTGTTGTTGTTGTTGTTGTTGTTGTTGTTGTTGTTGTTGTTGTTGGTGTTGGTGTTGGTGTTGGTGTTGGTGTTGGTGTTGGTGTTGGTGTTACCTGTATAAGCTGGAAAATTTTTTCCTTCAGTGTGGGAAGTTGGTCCTTCATGGATTCAGAGGTGTCCACAAGGACATACACCTGATCCTCAAGAACGGCTCCAAAAAGTTCCCTGCTGCCTTTTTGAAGCCACTCCAGCCTGCCACAAAACCCAATTCAGCAATGAGAGACACAGTAATAGGGGAAGGGTCAAAGAAAATCCAAACTTATCATTTTTGAACCAGTGTAACATGCTGTATCTAGAAGACCTGCAAAATCCCATCACTTTCATTGACTGCTTATCAAATTCAGGGTCAGGTTGGCCTGGAGCCTATCCCAGGATGTCACCAAAAAGCAACTGGAAAAGCCTTATAAAATAAGCTCTAATCCACCAGAAATAGACTTACCTCTTCTGCAAGTTCTCAAGAACTGCATTCATCCTGTCTTCATACCATTTACACTTCTCAGCTGAAACATAAACATGGACCACGGACCCATCTTTCCATTGTGTGTGAGCAAATCTTTCGCAGTATTTGGCATTGACCAGCTTGATCCTCTTCTCCTGATGAAGACGTGGAGAGGACAGCTCCTTTAACTTTAGCTTGTAGAATAATTTCCTTTTTTTGCCTACTGCGCCCAGCTTGATTTATTTGCTTAGCAGTTGCAAGAGCTTTTCAATCAAAATGAAACAGCAAGAACTACAACAGTTATAGCTTTGGACACAACAATGTAATGTAGCTTTTGCAATGTAAACACCCTGTTAGTATGCATTCCATGTTTATAGAAAGCAAGTTACAGCAAGTTAGGTTACCATTTTGAGAATTTGTTACATTTGTACAAGATGGTGTAACATCTAGTTCATGCTTGAGATGTCACGTGTTTTGTAAACAGATGAGTCGTGTGAAAGCACCGAGTGGACAGGGAAGCAACAATTCTAATTTCTGATTTCTTTAGATGGCTCATTCTACCACTGAAAGGTGAGCGTGAAGAATAAATGTGCTTCAGAAGGAGAAAAATGGAGAGGGGAGCACGGGAAATGTGGGGGGAAAGGGGGAGCAGGGAATGTGGGATGAAGTGCAGGGTGAGAGACTAAAGTTAAAGAAAGAATGGCTGAGACAACAGTGGGGAAGCACGAATGTTTTTCAAGCAAGTGAGAACCAGTGTAGAGACTGAAGAAATGGGAGTCGCGCAAATTTCTGGATTATCTGGAGTGGGTGAATAGCATTGGTGGAGTTGAAAGATTAAATGAGACTCCAAAAGCTTGAATGGGATGTGTAATTGCTACCACCCCTGTACCAATTTCTGACTTTCAAAACTGCCCTCACCCCTGTGGACATGTGGAGAAGAAAAAAAGTCTGATACATTGTAATTCCTACCTGTGTCTATTTCTCATCAATTGATACAACTCACCTAATAACAGCAGTTTATTCAGAAACAAAGGGCAGCAAGTTAAGAAGTAAGTGCTTTTGTACTCTCGATTTGATGGAAACAATAACTTTGGAGTAGTGCATTTCAAAAACTCTAATTACTCTAATTAAGGACTAATTATAGAAGCAAATGATAATATTATAACGTAATCCCATCAAAGACGGACCTTAACTGCTAGCTAACGTTTTTTTCTAATGACTTAAGATGGCGAAGCAAAATGGTAATACAGTAGGTCAATAGCAGTTAGAGTGTAACTTATCATATCTCTCTAAAAGAGAGATTCATTAAGTGTGTCAGTAGAGCAGATATTAGATGAGCAGCAAGTTTGAATAAAAATGGTTTGCCTCTGTGGAGAGCAACAGATTTATTACTGTCGATTTTACAAACCTCAGCTACTATTTCAAACAATGGGCTGTATCATAAACCTAGATAAAAGGGACTCTGGACACTGAACACATCAATTTCAACTGAATCAGCATTATTGTTGAAATATGAAATACATTCAGTGAGCACTAATGAAATGTTCCCTGAATGAACCAACCTTCTATTTTTTTTTATCTGTCATAACGCTTTTTACTGAAGTAACTAAAACAGTTAAATGAGAGTTAAATGAGTTTACTGTAATGCCATAAACTTAATTTCCAAAATGTCGTTTATGACTCTACTGTATATCTGAACATTTCTAGGCATTGGATTTTGACATGTTCCCCAAACCAAAAAGTATGAGTGGGAAACAATCTAGACCACTGATAAAAGCAATTGCATTTGAATAAGATTCCGTAATGTTTGGGTACGTTTGATCCGTCTGACTCAGTTTTGGGATCCAATTACCGCGCGGTGTACCATGCCATCCAGGCCCCAGGGAGTTTCCGAAAAGAAAATTCATATAGGAGCAAAACGTCACTCGTCCTAAACCTGAATTGGGTCCCAAAATCCAGCGCTGTGCTTAAACATTGTTGAAGTAGTGTGTGAATGCTAACCCTTACTCTACCTGAGGTGTCAAAAGAGCATTTCCGCGATCTACTGTATATTCTCAAGAGGGTATATACAGAACACTGTACACTGACATCAGATTAAGGAATACTTCATTAGGATGAAGCACTGAATCCATGATGATTTGTAGGATTTTACTATGATTTAAGAACCAATATACCATAAATTACATTTGAATTTTAAATAACACTATGGTGGCAGGAAACATGATCACTCTGGAATGATCACTTTGTTTAAGCATGTTACTTACCGCATCAGTTTGAAGACTCTCATCGTCTGGCTTGGATTTGATATCAACAATGCCGTCAGAATGGCGAAAGGCACAATCAGCCAGAGCGTCATAGAACAACAAGTTCTGGGCCTTCAGTCCGTGTTTTGTCAGCCAGGTTTTGGAGCTCATACAGTCTTCTGATTTTGGCATTTCAGTCCTTCTATCTCCTGGATGTTCTAGGGTACGTAAAGAGATATAAAATATAAATTCATTGTGCATTAAAAATGGATGAATGGGAAGAAAATATATTTTGTTGTTATTTATAAACACAGAATTATGTAAATCACTAAAAAGTTATCATTAATGTTTCACACTAAAGTGCTATTCCATGCAACCGATTAGCCTTTATTTCGTTTGCCAGGAAGCCTATACAGGTATATACTGTATATAGCAACTGAAATTATGGTGTTACCATGAATACTGTATGCCTAATTCATGGGTACTCTGTTTTAAAAAGGCAATGATCATCCTTATTCAGGACACTCTAGTGAACTGAACCAGCCCATTAATCCATTGATCCTTTCATTAGGTGTATGCCAAATGCACACATACCCCTGAGCTGTGAGGCAGTAGCACTGAGCACCATGCTAACATGCTACCCACTGCCAGTTCAATCTGTCATTATTCCAGCTCTCTAACACTAACAGTAGCATTGTACAGCAAACACTCACCACCCAGGAAATAGAGAGACAGCTCTTCATGTGAGATGTCTGTGTTCATGTCATTACAGGCACAAAATATATGTATTACAGGTAAAGTAACAATAACAAGGTCGCTCAAGAGGGAAATGTGTTTCCGGAGAAAATGGCTTTGTTGATGTCAATACGTAAACAGCGCCATAGCAACATCTTATTAGAAGCACACTGAGGCATCACAGATGAGGACAAACATATCTAGGATAATCTATGGATATAAATATATTTACTGTAACAGCACTGACACATTATCATCTCTTAATATCACAACCCACAATGCTTCTAAAAAAACAGTACCAAATTATCATCACACTAAAACTCAGCAAAAATGTGAACTATTATTCTGGCAAATCCAAAGTGTTTTAATAATCAAATAAGGCTATGAAATTTGATTTTAGAGACACACTGACTCCCAAAGCAGTTCATAAAGGTGCAAGGTATTCTTTAAATCTAGATTTTGCTAAGATCTAAATATTTAAATATAAAGGAGAAAACCAGCTATGAATTCTGCACAGAAGCAAAAAAAAAAATGTATTAGTCCAAAAAGACAGTAGTTCAAGAGGTGATGTAAAGTCAATGGATTGAAAAATGAAGGAACTGTTCCATTTAGTCAGGCTTCTTACACTGTATTTTTTTGCACTTTGCCGTATGGGACCAGATAAAAGCACAGTGTGTAAGTGCTGCGATTAGCTCAAAGAGGGGTTTGCTGATAGTGGCTAAAGAAGAAGACGCAGTAAAGTCTTCACCTTGAATCCGCGGGTGAGATTCCAGTAATATCGCCTGAACTTCAGCTGCGGTGCTTCTCGCCTCCTCCATCTCTCTCCAGATTAAGAAGACATCCTCCCTGACACCAGCGCCTGTGAGAACAGAATGTAAGTGTGTTGAGGTACCACAGAGTAGGGTAACATTGAGGCTATTATCAGTGCTGGGCTGCCGCCTGTATTAACCAACTGTATTATAGGCACTACTGTATAGTGCCTGTGATAACTCAGATGTGACATTTGTGAGAATGTGAAATGAATGTGACATCTTCCTTTATTGTGCCTTTTTTCTCAAATCTAAGCCATCGAAAGTGTAATGTGAAAGAAATGTCTTGTAGTAAACTTTCTTTTAGAAACTTTCTTTCTTTCAAATCATTCTTTTTGTGCACTTAGTTACATCAAATGTCTTTGTTTTAAATGTGCCACCATACAGACAGTGGGGAAAGTGGCTGTATTAAATGGAAAGGAAAGAACTGGAACTGCATTACCTGGAGGCACACCCCCAATTAGTCTCCTTGACATGTGGGGAGTGTGACAGTTCTCATCCCCTTCTTTTTCCCCAACGCACACGAAGGGCTCAGAGCCATGTAGCTCTGCAAAAGCATGGAACCTACAAAGACAAGCTCTGTTTCATGTTTCAAAGGTGTAATGGTGATTTAAACACAATAATAGTAAGTCAGTCTTCATTCAGTCTGTGTGTATGGAAAAAGTTTCTTTTGTTCTCTATGAGTTCATATCGAAATGCAGTGTAAGCTCTTCCTGAGAGAAAAAACCATGCCAAAGTCCTATAATAATTTACTTTAATATCATATTTCACACATCTGAGCAAATTAAACAGTTTTAAAGTCAATAAAAGCATTGTATAAAATGTTAACTCAATCTCCACTTTACATACTTTATCTCTCTAAAAGCAATTGGGGGAATTATGTAATTTAATTGGAAGCAAAGCAAACTAGCTTTTGACAGAGTTGACAGGGTCTGTTGATTTAAGTAAATATGAAGACGTTTCACTTAATGATTTATTGCATTTTTCTATTCATGACTATAATTTTCCTTGTAAAATTAGCTCAAAAGTACAATTTTTCGGCAGTAAGAAATCCATACTTACATCTGCAGTCGTATGTGGTAGCACCCTTTAATTGAAACAAGGTCATTTGCTATTTTTAAGTGTAATAAATAATGTAAAGTATATTTAATGAACAATGACATCTCGTGAAATTCTTTTGGAACACGTATTCGGTTGCTCTTACCTCCCAGCTGTAAGATGGGCTACACCCTTTAAAAACTGAACAGTTTCTTCACTCTTAGCATTAAAAGATATTGTGTGGATGGGACACACACTATTCACCAATTTATTCCTCAACAGATCTATCAAATTGTCTTTGAAATCTCCAACAGCAAATAGATAAACTGCTTCAATCTAGATATCACAAAAAGAAAGAGAAGAAAATGAGAAAATACTGCAGTAAATCTAAAGTCTAAAACAACAATAAAAATATGGTAGACATCATTTTTCAGCTTAATTTTAATTTTATGTGCTATTGATTTCAAGATGATCTGATATAAAAGAATACATTTTCTTATATACTTCTCCATTATGACAACCAAAATGTAATTAAAGCAATTTAATTTGCATAATGGGCTACAGTATGTAGCTTGCACTTTACTGCTAATGTATGTATGTAGAATGGCTTCACTGAAAAATGTTTAATTCCTAGATTTATGAACAGGCTGTTATGTCTTAATGTGTTATTCACAGATAAAAGAGCATCATGTTTGGTATTGTTGAAATCTGACCCTTGCCTGGGGTCACTCCTCTAACCTGGCTTGAGTGCAGTTTAAACAGACACCTGTTGTATGTGACATTTCAGAAATAGCTCTTGTACATGACATCTCAGAAATAACTTTGGTTAAGAAAGAACTTAGGTGGAGATATAATTATCAGGAATAGCCACTATGCCATGTGTGATCGTTTCATTATGTATCCAGTGGTCACTTATAAGTGCCCATTTGTGGTAATAATAGACAGTTACAATGACAATGACAATGTCAAGAGTTTTAATCATACTATCAAAACTTCCTGCAGCACTCCTTAAATTCAGAGCACATGAGGGACACCCATTGTACAACATGTGTCTTCTTTAGTGTTCTCTGGAAATGACCTTTTCGTAACAAATTAAAATTCATCACAATCCCTCATTGAACTGCAATTTGACTTCCTGCATCTCTGCAGTATTTGACTGAATAATGCCAAAAAACAAAGTATTGATGTGTGTAACAGGGATCCATTCTTATTTGGATAGATCCCCCATGAATATCTCTCAAGGCTGCATGGACCTCACCCCTACTGAAGAGAATAAACTGTACATTTTGTTTAACAAGGATCCTCTCTTACTGTTTTATCGCTCATGGCCATTAGCAATGCTTCTGCGGTACTGCTTTGAGAGGTGGATGGCTCATTCTTTAATTTCCATATCCATTCTACTGCAGAGTCAATGTTAGCTCCAGATGTATGGACTGCTTTTGTCTGCCACATTTGCAAGTCCGGAGCACAGCTGTAAATTTCAAGGCAGATCAAATCAGTTGTATGGCAGTAGATTTAAAGGTTTGGAAATAAATTCAATTGAGTACTAAAAGGGTAAGATGGAGCACATCTGATTGTAAATGTCATACTCAACCAGGACAATCTGTACATAGTTCATAATTTCTATTTAGAGTTGAAATTTTGGTTAGCATTAATAAGATGTTATAAACTAATCTTTATACTACAGTGTATAAATAACATTACAGGTACAGATTATTCTTAATACAATTCATCAGGAGTTGTGTCAGGGCTAATCTTACCAAATAAGGTTAAATCTTGCAATCTGGGATAATTGCTCCTTGATGACATGACACACTGCTTCACAGCTCAGATCAAACTGAGTCTTGGATATATTGCCAAAGTCAAGGACAAGAGTGGCAGATCGTTCCTGGATCACACCAAAAACCTGCCGACTCCCACTGGTCAACCAGTCCAGTCTCTGTTTATACAGTTTCATCTTTCTCGTCAGCCTTTCTACGATCTCTTGAAGCTCATTTCTTCTGGCTGTTAGCTGAGGTACAGAAAACATGTACAGAGCACACAAAATCAGCTCTGGCTTTTAATTTTTTTTCGTTGAGAACATATGCAGGAAATTACAGAGAACAGATAAAAACAGCTCTTGTTCTTAATGGTGAGAGGCTCAGGCTGTGCAGGCTGATGCCTAACCTTGAACTCACACTAATGAGCATAGGAAAGATGTACTAACGAGGAACACACAAGATACGTAGTAAAGAAAAAAAGAAGGGGAGTGTAATTGGGGGATTGAGGACAGAATTCGCTTGACGGGGTTCCTGAGATATGATAACAAATAGTAAAAAACATCTGTTATAATAAGTAACCTTTTAAAAACTGAACATTTTTTGCGGTGCAAATAAGGTCTACTTAAGCAGCTTCCTCCACTTTTGAATTTTGAGAATTGTTTGTGTGATGGTGACTGTACAGTCTCTGCAGTTTGAATAAAGTTGGCTCTCTTGAACTTCCTCTCTCAGTTTTTCTGATTCATGGTTTGGATTCTAATAATGGTAAAGTCTCATTTGTTGAAAATGCCTTCTTATTCCCTTACACAAAAGCTTGACTACTACAGATACCTTAAATTTCTATTTTGTTCAACAAATGGTACAGCCATTTTTTTGCATTCCATGTGTCCACAAAAGCTTATGTTTCCAGTGTGGTAAAAAGAATGGTAAATGCAGCAATTATTTTTATTGTTTCATGAATCAGGAAAATCATCATTGTATGCACTAATTATGTACAGGTTGTCGTGCCAGCATAAATATACTTACATTATAAATACTGCCATCTTTCTTGAACTGGGAAAACAAGCCTTCACCATATTGAGAAGAGACTGGTTTTTGCAAAGTATGAACATAATCTGAAAAAAAAAAATTGTAAATAACAAGTTACATGATTAAAACTGTAGTCAAAAGGCATATACTATGTTGTGTTTCCTGAAAAGGTTTACATAACAACATCATCAGAGTTATAACAGTTTGAAGCAGACCTCAGACGTTTCTGTTCTAATCATAACTAATGATTATTTCAAGTTGATTTTTGCCATTAGGTCTGTATTCAAATTAAGAGTCCATCATTTGTTTGTCCATAATCATTTTAAGAAACACAATTAAGGAAGCTACACATGTATCATTACTGATCATTAACCATCTGCTTTTTGATGTTGAAACCTGCCTTTTGTAAATAAATGGTGCATTTCAAATCATCCATTTCTGTGTTAAATTGATTTTTGTCTCACTATAAGTATATAATTTGTTCTCCTAGTATAAGCCTGTATTGTTTATAAATTCTATTCAACTCAGTCCATCATATTTCTTATTTACACCACAAAAAATTGTATCAATAACTAGTGCCAACAGATTTATTGTGATTCAGTGACAATATTTGTCAACATAACATTAATTAACCTACAGTACTAACAAACAGTAAAAATGGAAAATGCCAACACAGCACTAATGACACAGAAGTCACATGCAGATGGATGGAGAACGAGAAGCAAATATTTGTCAATTTAATGTTGTTTTTTTATTTGAAAGTCAGATGTCAAATATTTGATGTCCCTGTATGCGCACATTGGCTGCCCCACCCGTACCTTCACAGTGTTTAAAGCCGATCCTCGACAGGACCTGAGAGAGGTTAAGCCCACTTTCCTTCAGGCCATGACGTTTCAGCCATTTTGGAGATGAGATTAGGGTGCGCACATCAGCCTCAAACTGAGCTGCCTTCTTTCCGGGCTTGTTCCCTTGTGATCTCGTTTCATCACATGTCTTACTGGAGTCACACAAATCCAGTTTTCTTTCTTCATCTTTGTGTTTCAAATCAAAGCTTGGTTCTAGAAAGGGAAATTGAATACACACTAGAGACATGCTGCTGTATTTTAGGAGCCTGGTAAACTGATACAAAGTAAACAAAAAGAAATGTGTATTAGTTGGCATTAGACTGTGAGGTTCCAGAGTATAGAGTTGCCCTAGTCCACTGTTTATTCTGTTTATTCTCTGTTAACTTGTAATTGAAATGCATGATGGAACCAACATACTGTACAGTAATCCCCACATTTATACATTTAAACCATTTGAAATATATTAGCAATGTTTGTTTAGCAATGACAACATTGACTTTCAAATGTGTTGATAAGATTTGTTTTGTAATGTGTTTGGTAGAAATTCATATTAATAAACATTTCTTTAAACTGTTAATGTCATCTTTAATGCAGTTTTTCAAAGAAACTTATTTTGGTCATAATTACTGACACATCAATGATGGTCACAATATAAACATCATATGATAAATACTGCAATAGGAAAAACTTACTGTCTCTTGAAGCACTAACTGTCCAGATGTCTCTAGTCATTATAAAGAATATGGATTTTGTACTTCCCTCTGTAAAAAGAATTAAGGAATTGTGGAATAAATCTCTTTAACAAACTTAAATTATGTTGTCTTCAACATCCTTAAATTCAAACCCGAAGATCAGGTAGCACAATAGATTTAGAATTTAACTGTCTTTCACATGCTGTAACTCATTTCAGAAATTTTTTTTAAAAAGTGAAAAAATAAACAAAATAATCATTTAAAATGTTAATTCTTCTGCTATATTAGTTGTTTGACACAACTCTTATCTGAGGAAGTTGGTGTAAACAATACGAATAGTGATAAGTGGAATATTATATATTACTGACTGAGCCAGTGCGCTATTAATCTTTCTTCATTTTGCATGACTGAATAATGCTCTCGTGAGTCATTTGTTATATTTAAAGCATATGTAAATTATCCTGGAACAGCTGTGAAAAGATTCATGTCTTTCAAATGGCAAACAGGATTTGTTTATGAATACCAGTTTTCAGAAATTACCCCACTGGATAATGCCAGAGTACAGTTTCATAGCCCCTTTGGTAGCTGATCATGATTATTGAATCTCCTATAAATCTATATAATCTCCTATATAATCTTAGGCACTTTCTCCTTGTGGTAGTACACAGTCACTTTCTTTTACTTTTTCCTAATGCTGTAATTATTCAGCACTTGAATAATAATGATAGTTTAATGGACATTTTTTATACCAACAAATAGTAATTAAACATTTTACTTGAACTAATTAAAAGAACATACTGTACTCGTACGTAATCGTGGTTGATCAGTATATCGTTTATAAAATAAAGCTGCTGTGGCTATGTGGTAAGACACAAAGTTTACTTTTTATTTTCTTTGTGCAACGTATCAGTAAGAATTCTGTTTGTACAGCTTATGAGGACGTTGTGAACAGAAAAAAAGGCCAGGACTAAATTTGTGTAAACGTCTCTGTAAATAGAACAAAGCCCACTAATTAACGTTATTTATGGGAGGTTACATTTCTTGTCTTTTCGTTTGAGACAGCTCTTGAAGACAGCATGAAACAGTAATTATTACTCCATCACGTCTGCTAATCAAAAGCCATTTACGAGAATTGCTGCATAGTCTAACTAGCAATAACTGCACATTTACAGCAAGAAAATCTGTAGCTGCTAAACATTAAGAGCTAATGCTTCAAAACTACTATCGACTCTTAAAAAATAGACGTATTGAAAAGTTCACACACAATTTTAGATTCAATTATTATAAATCTTATTTGAAGATTAACACATAATTTAATTGTATCGGTTGCTTTAATTTTGGAAACCACTGTATGACATAGACCATGAGAGACAAACCAGATTCTCGATGTAATTTCTATTTATCGTCGTTAGCGTGCAACAGAGGCGTACAATATAAGTGCGATACAAAAATAAAAGTTAAGAAGGTCCCTGTTATTTACCTTTTTTCTTTACTGGAATGCAGCGGTTTTAATTTTTTAATATCGTCCGTCATCAGTGTCCTGCCATACTTCAAAACCTCTTTGCTGTTGATCTTAGTTACGAACCTGTTGCTAGGCTTTGACCAATCGCACTCTCCCAATTCAATCACATTCAATTTCACCTCATTTCAAAGGCACGACTACAGTATGATACAAGCGCTACCAAAATGGGCACAATGATATCAAGTTAAATCAGAAAAATACAGCAGAACAACAGGCAGAAGACACAAATATTGAATTCAGAATGACTCAAAACCACAACAAACTTTCGCCTCTTAACTCCGCCCTTACTTCTCCAGTTCTGCAGTAGATTCGATGGCGCTTTATTGGCGTAAATACGTAACCGATATGAAAGTCAAATATTTAAAGCGAGGGAAAGACAATTCTTTCTTCATTTTCCGTCTCAAATCCGCCTCACTTAACTTTCCTCTCTTTCTTTCTTCTGCCTTACCCGTTGCCTCTCGGTGACAGGCCGGGGCTGTTGAGCGTGGTTGAGCTAAACAACACTCCAGTCTCCGTCAGTTAGCAGTACTGTGTAGAGACTACAGGTACATCAGCCAAGGGCCGTGTGAACTGTATGTCCAACACGACTGACAGTTTGTCAGAGATGCAGGTCCCTAAAGTCTCGTAATATATTTAAAAATAATAATATTTGTAGTTCGTGAAACTGAAAGTAAAATCAATGTGTATGCCCATAAGCAAACCATTGGAAGTGCAACTTGCTTTAAAAATTGTTTTCAATCATAGTTTTGTCGTTTCACACAGCAGATAGATAAAAAAAAAAGTTTTGCACATGGAACTTAAGGTATCAAGGGGAAACAGGAAATCTCTGCATCACAGACACCAATGAAACATTTGTTGGCTACTGTACTATACTGTATATGTTATAGTAGCCCAAAATATTGAGAGGTAATAAAGCATTTTCATTTGTAATAAAATAAGAAGAAATGTCTCAAAATCGTTTTTTTTTATGTAAGATCAAGGCAGTTAAAAGAAAATAATGCTTTATCGAGAACAATATTAAAATATTCTACTTTAAAGTGTGAAAGAAAGGCATATAATAAAGGCTGATTTCCCTTTGATCCAAGTCAAAAGAGCTACTGTAGCCCAGGGCTTACCAACAAGATTGACAGTCTTGAAATGTTAACAAAGTGTAGCTACTTTGATCATTATGATTTAATATAACTTAATGATTAATTGAATGACTGTTTCCTGCCTGTTTTAATCGGTTTCGTCAGATAAAACAAATGCTGTTTAATTGTTTCCAGGCTCAAAGAATGATGGACTGCAAAGTATCAACAATGTATGATCACCTGTGTTTTGTGCAAGGGAGGATGCACTGCAAAGTAAAAGTGTTAACTGAATTGTTCCTAAATTAATGGAAGGTGAGACAAAAGTGCCAAGGGAGTGATGGACCGAATATGAGTTCAAGTCTGGATGACTCCCAGAAGCAATCAGTTCACCAGCACCATAGTTACAGTATTTAAAGGATGTTAATGTCGGGTCAAGTTCTAGAACTTGCGAAAGAGCTTGGTATTTCTTTCACAAACACTAAAAACATTATCCATTAATACCATAGTATATCTTCTCTATAGGTGCCCTGAAGCTTTGGTATGATAGATGGCAATTTTCTGTAAAAAGATACTGTAGATCTTCATCACTGATCTGTGTCTTGACCGAGTACTGGTAATAAGATATGGATCTAACACTGGAAGACAAGACAAGTCAAGGGATTATTTTATTGTAATATACAGAACCCAAATTTCAAAAGCTTTTTAATGGCTTTAATAAAGTCATTGAAGTTACAACCTTCACTGTTTGAGAAGTCTTTGTAGGACCTTGCTGCTTCAGTAGAGGGGATGTGAGAGTACCACAGTGTGGTTTGTTATTACTTGAGAAAACATCATGTTTTGTATTTTCATCAT